GAGAAAAGACACTAAAGAAACAACCAACTGAGAGTATCGGAATAAACAAAATTCGATGATAACAAGACAAGTAAGATAATAAAACCAATATTGTAAGATAAACTAATAAAGAATTTCAGTTAATATCTTAACCAAAAAAATTTTTTAAACTTCATTAAAATAAAAAATATAAACAACATTAAAATGTGACTTTAATAACCCATTTATATATTATATAATACGGCCCGTCATCAGTTAGGAGATAAATAAATGATAATGATTCTAGTATAGTTAAAGTTTAGTGTGGGGCAGGGATAAGCCCCCAGCTACAAAAGAGTAAAAGCGCGCAATAGCACTAACTCAAATCACAACAACAACAACAACTTTATATAATATATATAAGTATAACAGGTAGTCAGAAACCTACTATAATTTATTTTTTTTTACAATAATTTGTTTTATTATTTATTCGTTAATTAAATGAAAAATTTATTGTATAAAACTATCAGAATAACTGCTTTCGTAATAAAGTTATTCTTTGAATTAACATTTATAGCTTTTTACTATATGTATGCTATATCTGCCAATCATTTTAGATTTATTGAGACTGAAGTTTTAGCAAAGATCGACCAGTTCAAGTAAATTATTTTTTTAAGTCAAAAAAAATTTTATTGCATTTTTTAAAAATGTTAAAACTAATTTATAAGCTTGTGATGTATTCAATTTAGAAAATTAAATTCAGGAATTTTTTTAATATCATAAATGCATGGTTTTAAATTTTTAATAATAAATTTTTAACGAAGTGGTGAGGAACTTATAAATAATATATTATCATTGACAGTAATCATAACTTAACAATAATTACTGTTAATTTAAAATATTGGAAAGTATAATTCAAATTTTGTTGACTGGACAGTTTCATCAACGAACCTCAGTGTTAACCAACCATGTTATGTTGCTGGTTCTCCGGATTTATTTTTCAAACAAAGTAAATTCCATTGAATAGACAGATGTTTTAACCGAACAGAATTGCTGATACGCTTCGGCTTTTAAATATTATATTTATAAATATTATCCCATATATAATATCGAATATATATATTCCCGTACGTTAATTGAGGATTAAAGCCCATGAAGTGGCTCAAACAGCCTCTCTGGGTTAATTTCAAGCTCTACCTTCCTGCGAAATATCCACACCACAACAGCTGCTATCCGAAGGAAATGTCAGTTGCATCGACGTTGACTTGACAAGTTCAGGAGCCAGCTGTCACATATAAATCGAAACACAGGTAGCAGCCCTACCATCGAACTAAACGGGTATAGGCTAATAACCCATATTTCGACGAAAAAATCTATTATTCAAGTATCTGCAAGGAATCAAAACAAAAATCGGATAACAACCAATGAAAACACGACGACCATATATAATCGCACTAGGACTAGTTTTGGTCAATGGAACGTTCGTGTTTTGTATCAAGCTGGCAAATTTCCTCAACTTACTACAGGGTGCGTTCGATTGAGAATTGAAGTAATAGAATTTAGTGAAGTCCGAGTATTGCAGTATGGAGAGTACCGCAACAACAAAGGGGGACTTATTGTCTACTCAGGCATGCCTAACAAAACCAATCTAAATACCAAGTTGTTGGTTTATACTTTAGAAAACCAATTGCAATTTTTTTGGAAAGCCACATCAGAAAGAATTATAACTGTCCGAATAAATGCAAAATATCATAAAATAACCATCGTGAAGTACTATGCACCTACATAGGACAGCGAACTAGAGATCAAAAAAGATTAAGTCCCTAACAATTTCATTGCCGAGCTTATGGGCGATTTTAACGCTCTATTAGGCCAAGATAATAAGAATCTTAAAAAAGTTTTAGGAAAGTATGCAATAAGAACCCGATCAGAAAAAGGCAAATTGCTAATGGAGCTGTACAATAATCATGACCTAAGAATTGAAGGTTCAGTGTGCCCTTATAAGATAAATCATAAAAATTATCTCTTGAAGTTACCCTGCATATTTAAATCATTATTATTTATATATAAAAACTTATCTTTTAAGCTTTCAGGAATTACTTGGTATATTAGACTCTGTTACTACTAATTACTATTAAATTAAATTTAGTAAAATTAACAATTCAATTACTGAAATAAGAACATTTTTCCAATATTTACATACAATATACTATCAATTTGGTTCAGATTTATGAGTTATGTATCAATATACTTACGTATATAGTAACTAAATACATATGTTTATGTAAATTTACAGAGACCTTTGATTAAACTCCATATAAGTATATTACAAAACAATAAATTCAAATTAAATTATATTATTCAAAAATTGCAATTGAACCACTAAATACGTCTTTAAAATAATCGATTTGATATAATTAAGGAAAACTTTACGATAGATATTGTTATAGTTATGAAATAGAACTGATACATTTTAATTTATTTAACGGAAACGTCTAGACCTTTGAAAACTCTTTGTGCGAAAATTAAGTTTGAGTTTGTTTTGAACAAGCGTTATACTTAACGGATTTTCACCAACTATGTACTCTTATACTATAATGTTTCTACAAAACTATGATTCTTATAATCTGGCAAATTTTTTAAAATTACATTATTTATAAAATTACATTCGATATAACATTTTCATAAATTGTGAAGAAACACAAGTAAAGATTGTTGGAGATATTAGAACATATCTAGATAACCTATTGTTCGGTAATATAATAAAACATGTAAGTCTGAACGAACATTTTCACAATATTCTCGCTAAAGTTAAAAGCGGATAAGGGTTAAATTCTATCGACTTTATTTACTTGGAAATAACTGATAAAAAGAATTACTTGTTATTTTACCAAATAATGAAAAAAATTGGTGATGTTCATGATATATTTCAACAAGCTTTGTAAACCAAATAACAGTACAAAGTAACAACTAAAAGATTTCAATGGTTGTCACCATTTTGTTTAGTTACTATGATACTTGGTTACCGATCGTGACTGCTCCTATTATCAATAATGATTGCTTAGTTACTAAATTCTATATATATATATATATATATATACTTATGTATATATGTAATATATATACGTTATACATACTTATATAACGCAATAATTCCATGTAATAAATTATTTGCTATACTATCATTCTTTATATTTTGGTTACAGTTCTATTAGTGAAGCTGATAAAATTTTCAGGATTCAAAAAGAAACAAATGTATTAGGAAAAAAAACAAATTATTCCTTTTTTATATAAAAGGATATATATTAAAAATAATAAAATGTACAAAATCAAAAACTCTACTTACATAATCAGCTAAATAGCAAATCGTAATTTGCAATTTTATTTTCAAAATTTAAATTATAAGTGAACACAGTTTTTGTTTTTTAATTAACCATAACTCAACTCGATTTTATCTATAACTATGGTATGCGCATTCGGCGAAGAGACAGGTCTTATTATATATTATATTAAGTAAGCAATTTAACAAGCACAACAAATCACTTGCAAACGTCAATTATGTTAAACTTTTAAAATAATGTAAGTAATTTTATTTAATTTTTTTTCTTTTGTTTAATTTTTCTTTATTTTTAATGTTGTCTATTAAGCGACAGGTGAAATTTTCGATTGACTGGTGCGCACGCTTAACTATGCAATTCACCTCAAAACCGTCTTGATTTTCGTAAGTACACCAAAAAAGCTTGCGGAAGCAAAACCTTTGCTAATTTACCTTTAAAGTCGTGTTTGCTCAACTGACCGAAGAGTCAACATGGACTGCATATTTATACAAACACAAGTAGTAGATATGCTGTAAGGAGGAAGTAACCGCGGCTGCATTTATAATTTACAAAACGCTAAATTGAACGTCAGCTTCAGCAATAATAACAACAGTAATAATATTGTTAATGCAAAAATGATTCTATTTACAAATTGTGAGTTACACATATATAATGCATTACATTATTACATTATTGACAATTTGGGCTATAAATCAATATTATTATTTTCTGAATTTACCTATAAATATTTGAGTTACTACTTTTTATTTTAATTTATACAAATTGAAACTACTACCTAATACTAACTTCTACTAGAACAACACAAATTTCTACCTGTTGCTGCAGGTAGTCAGATCTGAAGACATCAATTAATTGAAAAATATCTAAATATTGGAGTATTTATTTTTTATTTAAATGAACTGTTAGAAACAATACTTTAATACAGTGGTCTCATCATTTTAGGGGGAAATCATCATTTAAATTTTAAAAGAAAAAACAAAATAAAATGTGTGCCGGTATTTTAAAAAATCGATAGTGAAATGCAACTAAAATCAGAGACATACAAAATATTTATAACAATCCATTACATTTGAAAACAATAGAAATTTGCTTTGTTATAAAATGTTTAATTAAATTCATTTGCAATTCAAATGTTGCATTAAACTAAGTTCATAAACTACACATCCGATGTTTCCACATTATACGTGCATTTATATATGCATTTGCGAATTGTGTAAGTTTGCAAATTTGCAGACAATTCAAATGTAAATTATTTGCATTTTTTTATTAATTAAAAACACAGTAAATTTCAAACACAGCACAAAGTGAAAAATATTTTTATTTACTAGTAAAAATAATTCATTTCAAATATTTATCAAAAATGTTTTTGTTTGTTTGAAATATTTTTTATTTTACATATTTTTGGCAACTCTGAGCAAATAATTAAAATTATTAAATGTCAGAGAAATGAGTGTCAAACTTTCTACATCTTTGGTGCTCTCTTATTTGTGTTCTGCTCTGCACATTTATTTTCCATTTGCTCTCTTTTTTCTTGCACATAAATGGATAAAAAAAACTGAAATGGGTGTAAATTTCATAAATTCTGTTTATTTGGGCGGTGGAAATAGTTTTGCCATCGTTTTTATTTGAGGTAGAAAAACTAAGGATGACTAATGCTTAATTATAAGAATGCAAAAATATTAAAAAATATTGTATTAAACTCACGTTTTTATTTAATAACACTTAAAATTAATTATTGTACAAATTGTATCCTTGTCACTTTAACAAAAATTTTTGCGGTAAAAAAAACAAAAAATTCTTGAATGAAATTCCGTAGCATACATGCACATATGCTCAACAGTTTACTTAATTGCCGTATTAAAGAAATCACTTTTATATTAACTTAAAAAAAATGATTTTATTCAAAATTTGATATATTAACTAAAATAACGATTTCAAAAGAAATACGATGGCGCGACAACAGCAGCTATTAACGCACTTAAATAAAATTAGCCGCCGCTAGTGGTTTTCTTCTACGCCAATGAACAACACACAAACAATTGACAGGTTAGGACCACTTAAATACAATATGTGATAGCAGAGTTGCCAGCATTTAAATTTTTAATAATTATATATAGTTTAACTTTTGAATATTTCACCGTAAAAAATGCAAAAATTTTGTGATTTATATAAATTTTTGTTTTATCATTAATGAATTACACTACAATGATTCAGCAAACTGATATTTTGTAATGATATGTAAGAACGTTAGAAAACAATTTAGATACAATAAAATTTTTTGAAAGAAAGCTTTAAAAATTTAAATTTTGGATTAAAACTTCTTAAACACAACAATAATATTATATTAAAATTGTTGACATCGCAAGAAAAGTTCACCTCATTTATCTGAGTCTTATAAATTATTATTTTTATATATAATCCTTAACGGAATTTTTTTAAATATAATTTAGCTCTTAGAAAGTAATTAAATTATTACAAATCGTGCTTTGACTAAACATTTTTAATTTCTGTAGGAAAACAGTAAAGTTTATTTCAACAATTTCATTTATTTCAGTGTAACTATCGAGGTTTACTACTTTAAACACTTTTAGAATATTAGCGCATTAATTTTTTTTAAACTGATTTTAAAATATATTTTAAAATTGGTTTTACTGCTAATTTACATCATCAGTATAGTATATAATACAAATGGTTTTAAGATTTGCATAAATAAATAAATTATTATAGATTAATATTCTTATGATTTATATAGAATAATATATGTGATAAAGACTTTTGGGATTTTATATGTAGTTAAAACAGTAAATTTCTAACAATAACCAAAAATAATATTTATAAAAGTTGTATAAATCTGGTATTATTAATGTTTATAAAGCAAAATAAATTTTAATATAAACAAAAAATATTATAAAATATATTTTATCTTCAAAAATTTTTGTGATTATTATAGTTGTATATTGTTAGAATACCGCCGATGAATTATTTTTTTGTTGATACTTTATATAACATTCTTAGTGTTCATCTTAAATAAAAATTAAAGATATGCATAAAGAATTTACAAAGAGACACAAATTACTTACATGTTGTGTGTAAGATTTAAGTTAAAAGAAACTGTGGAGATTTCAAATGATTGGCAATACTAATTTATGACACAAAAGTAAGCGGCAAATATTCAGTGTTGGAAAAATTAAAAAAATCTCGAAGTACTTGGATATTAATTATACGTGGAATATAAAAATTTATGTATTAACAATTACTTAAAAAATCTTGAAGAAAAATGTATACTGAGGATTATGAAGATAGCAGCGAATAACTTGAAAAATGTTTTTTTATTGAATATATATATAACACCTAAATTTCTAAATATTTCTTACCAATTTTTGCATTTATGTTAATCTCAAATTTCGCGGGCAATGTGTATAATTAACTCTGCTGTAATAAATATTTTTCATTATTATTAATAACATTTTTATTGTTATACGTTAATAAAATTATTTGTATTAAAACCAAACTAAACAACCAATTCTCAAATTGCTTGTGAAAATGCAATTTGAGAAAAAAATTAGCTGCCTAAAATTATGCTTCATAATTTGTTTAGATTTCGTTTTAACGAAATTTGATTACTATGGACTAGTAACTGAGGTGATCCTACGAAATTACATTCTTAGGCAAATTGAACGATTTTAGTTAGGTAAATAGTTCAGTATATATAAAAATATGAAGTCTTCATTCAAGTTTGTAGTATTTTAATTAATTTTTATTTTAATTAATTTTAATTTTAATTAATTAATAATTTAATTATATAATTATTAAATAAATTTTTTTAAAACAAATAAACACTTCACGATGGAAAGAAATCAGTGTTGTTCTTTAAAGAACTTAATAACGCGTTGAACAAAAAATTATCGTAGATAGGAACCATTCCTTTTGATCTATTTTTATTTATAAGAAATTATGATAAAAGGAATCTAACAATAGTCTGATTTAACTGTAACTTGAGCGTAGTTAGTAGTTAATTAATAGTCTTACGGTTCAAGATGTAGAAACGCTAAAAATTCTTTTCGATTAACAGGTAAATTGTGCATATTCACATGCTTTGCGTGTTATAAAAACGTTTATATTATATGTGGTTATAAATTAATTGATCTAGCTTTCCAGCAGATTAGGCGTCTCTAACTGATCTTTTAGGATCCTCAAAGATCTTAAAATAAATAGCAACTACGAGTTAGCAAAAGAAAGAGGTCCAAAATGCTAAATAATCAATTCTTTTAATTGAAATTAATTTTAATTAACCATTAAAACTTTTTAAGACTAACTCTAATATTGACCTTTCTAATATATCTTATTACATTTAGAAATACATTCTTAAAAAAAAACACTGCATTAGTTTTGTGTGTCCTCAGTTTTTGACTTTTTGATAAAAATAAATAAAATAAAGAGAGTAACTCCTATAAAAGTCAAAGAATTTTATAATATTCAAAAACTATTCTTATTTTACTAAAAATAGTACTAGTTCGTACTTAACATAGCATATATGCAGCAGTGAACTTAAGTTTAGTAACATTAAATTTCTTATGGAGATGGCTAGACTATACGAATGCAAAGGTTGAAATGTTCGTGATAATTGTTCTTACAATTCTTCCACAGTGTTTGAAAGTACATTTAATCCACGAGGGAATGATTGACATCCTTATTCGAATAATGTAGTAGAAAATATTCAGCCTAGAAAATTCTCTGTAAGGTGTATAATGCAGCAATCATTAAGCATGGTTGTTTTAGGCTTATGTAAGTTTTTTACAATGATAAGTAAAAATATCTCCACTCTTTAACTAAAAATGTTGAATAATTTATATACAGGATTTAAAGTTATCACTGTTGTTGATGCAGATATTTTACGTTTTTGGCTATACAAATTGATTAACGATTAAAAAATTAATCTCACCGATGGAGCACTTGTGATGGATTTTTTGGTTAAAAATCGCATTTTTACAGTCAAATACTCCATACATTTATCTGTTTTGGAACCATGCGAGCAGTTGAACAATACATTTTAGTAGCTTAAGATTGAGAAACAATTACTAGCTACAGTATTCGCCAGCCAGACCCGTATCCAAAAAGTAATTTCTGGGTTGGAGGGTTTACATTCGATATAATTTAGCAAAAGATTTATCTTAAAAATCCATTATTAATAAGTACGCATATATATAAGTAACAATTCTTCGACTGCTTTGGAGAGATTGTGGTTGAGTGCCTGTAACCTAAGCATCCGTTGTCACCTACTATAAACTACAGCAGCTATTGCCTCATTGAGTGTTGATAATAAAAGTTAGTGAACTAAATTAAATACAAATAATAAATCAGGATATGAAATGTCAGATCAGAAGGGTTGCCAACTCAACAACATCAGTGAATGAGTCAGCGTTCCGATGAATGTAATTGCCAATAGATAGCCTCAATACAAATAGATGTTTTGAAGAAATAAATTTTATTTTGGAATGCATCACTTAGAATTATGTGATTTATCGATTATGTTCAAAAGCCATTGACATCTTATTTCACTTTACGTAGAGACGCCGATAAGGAGCAAAATTGACACATTAATTAAATGTTATACTATGCAAATATATATATATATAAAAATAATAACAAAAATGTTCGTTTGTTAAAAAATATAAATTTTACAAACTTTATTTTTTATTTATCGAAATGTTTTCATTTGTTTTGAACTTTAGTCATAAAAGGTACACAAATACAAACAATCACGATCATTATTATTATCAAAAATATCCTTTCGAATCCCTTCGAAATTATTTTCATACAAATGAACTAATTTAATTAAAGTACAGATTCAGATATATAAAATACATACATTATTATAACAAAAGTGCCTATGGTACGCATATACAATTTTACATATGTACATGTGTATATAAGATGTGAAGTCCAAATGACCATAATACAAAATACAAAATACAAACTAGTATAATAATATAATATACTAACTCCTCCGCGATTAACAACTTACACAGTTTAATACAATTTAAGAAAAAATTATATACGATGTCTAGTCTAAAACTCTAAAGAAGCTAAGCAATGCAATTGTCCAAGCGCAAGGCACTGCTCCCGTCTGCTCCTGTCTGCTACTATGTAACATAACTACCTAACATCTAACATACTCCGATTGCCTATGTTTGGATCTAACTGCACGATCTACTGTACGAGTAAAAAATAAAAATAAAAAATATAAATTTTTACTTAAGACTAAGAATTTTTTATATTTATATTTTAAATAAATTAATTATTGGCTGCGGCAAATACTCGCTGTCTTGTTGTTGTTGCTGTTGGCGATGTGATGAGCATGGAGTCCTGCAACTTAGTGTTGCCATTGATTTCGGTAGCGTATGCTGATCCATTTTGGTATTCGAGCGTTTTATGTACACCATTTGCATAACCATTTGCTTTGTTGGCCAATTTTTCTTTCTGCAAAAAACACAATAATAAAAATTATATATGGTAAATAAAAAATTTATAATTAAATTAGTATTATATCTCACCTTTTGTTCGCGTTTTAAATAGGCTTGTTTGTAAAAATCGGAGAAGAGGAAGTAGAACATAACAGCATGCGCACCAATGAAGTAAGCAAAACCGATTGGATAGTTGCAGTCATTTCTGAAGAACAATTGGAATGAGTGGACCATTACCAATACGAATTGTATCATCTGCAAGACTGTGAGGTACTTCTTCCACCACAAATACTTTTGTACTTTAGGGCCCATAGCGGCTAACATGTAATAGGTGTACATTATAATGTGCACGAATGTATTCAGAAAACCGAAGAAGGTAGAATGACCGCCAGGTGTGAATTTCACACCCCACCAAACTGATACCGGCATAATGCCATGATGTATGACATGGAGTGTCGATACTTGATCATAGCGTTTACGCATCACAAAGAAGAAGGTATCGAAGAACTCAGTAAATTTGGAGAAGAAATACCACCAACAACCGCGCGCCGTCTGTAAAGAGTTCAAAAGAAAAAAAACCGTTATATTACTTTGTATCGAAATTAGTATAAACGGCTTAGGAGTGTTAAGTATTTATGCAAACATAAAGTCAGGCTCTCTGATGCAGTTACCTTAACAGTAGTTTCTGTTGGAAATGGTAGGGCTAGTCTTTGTATGTGCATGTTATTTTAAAATGATTATTATTTACTTGTAATTTAGACTCTAAATGCCGTGTGAATTACGTTTTCAATGACTATGAACTTATTTTGTTTGTCGTACTTATAAAACTGCCTCCTCGCAACAATTCGCTGTTATGAGTATTCATCTAATATTTCAATTGAATGGACAATTGCCAGTCATACTTATTAATTAACAACACGTTTTACAAGTCAATATTTAATTTATTGCTCATTCCAATATTTATGTTAAAGCTTAAGTTTAATAAAATTTCTTAAATTATGATGATATTTTGACATTGTGTATGTAAATATGTAAACAATAAAGTTCATGTTAGGAGTTATAAGCGTACTTCTCCTAAACATTGTGAAAATTGTTTTCTGTAAAGAAATCATGTTTATCATATTTTTTTTTCATTTAAAAGGTTGTTTATTCTAGTCTAACATAAGGTCGAAGGACATTATTAAGACGTGAAAAAAACTGTTGGTTTTAGAGTTTAAAGGAAATTCTTTCTAAGTGTTCTAAAACAATAGGTTACGTTCGCTATAAGGGGAAAGGGAGTCAGGTCTTTTCAAAAAATAGTAGGCTCTAACAAGGGTGCATACCGTCATCTATGAGTTTTCTACGTGTGTTAGATATATAATAAGTAGCTATCCTTTTTGGGTTGCTAACTAAATATGGCTGTAAATAAAAGGATAATAACCAAGTCTACCTAGGGTGCGCACCCTTGGTACCTATCCTTTTTCGGTGTGTTAAATATGATTATGAATAAGACAATTGGCATTTTTAAAACTCAATTTGCATACATCCATATACAGCAATTTATAATATTTATCTATTCTACACTAATATTTAATAATTAGCTACTCTGTATCATTAAATTCGTAAAAACTGAACTTAGGTTTCTGCAAACAGGACGTCTTTAATAGTGGAACATGAAGTTAGAACCCTACGATGGAAGATTTTAAGCTGTTCAAATATTATTATGATGCAAATAATGGTATCATAATAAAGACGGAACTCATATGGCTGTATAAAACATATCTGCAAACGTTTAGTGAGGGTAGTAACGTAAGGTATGGATCACATGCAATATTATACAAAATATAAAATTGCATATATAACATCAGCATAGGAGCAGTTTTTATGTACTAATAGCAACATTTGGGAAGTGACTGAATATATAAACAGAAAATTCTGCGATAAAATAATAAGATTAATATAAACACACAGTTTTATCGTTTAAACATAATGAAATGATAAATGACGATAGATTAGGTATTAGCTTTAAAAATGAAATAATATCGGTAGAATGGCACTGCAAAGGAATTCTCACTACTTTGGAAGATGAAAAAGTGAAAAAACCTCTGCACCGTTCTTATAAAGAAGTTAGTAAGAACGATGTAGTATCAATCCCAACAATAATGACTGCGTCTCAGAATACTCACTGGTAATCGAGAGCGATAGAAGGAGTTGCAATGTTTGTCAAGCATAATTACTTTTGCAGAAGTGGAGGCCTACTCTTTTATTTACGGTTTTATAACTGTCGGACTCTAATTAAGTCTTACTGAAATTAAAAAAGACAGCAGATATTTTCTCACTCAGTTCTAATAATAAAACTTAAATTAATGAAATCGTTATGGTAGTGAATTCTGAAAGAATTTAAAAAAGGAATTCTAACTAGTTTCTGGATTGGTGCCTGTAAAATCTCTATAAAATTATTCAAGGCTTTTTTTCGTCAACCATAAAAAACCTACAAGTCTAATTAGAGTAAAATCCCAGTTTCTTTGGGTGATTCTTAGGTTATTTTTTATTTGATGTCATACAATTTTTAGAACAATTTAGGTAAAGACTATGAGAACCCTGTCGAAGATTTTGATTGCAATAGCTTTCAAATAAAATTTATTTAAAAAAAAACCAGTATGAATTTTTTATAACCTTGTTAATAATATTTACTTTGATAAGTGAACTTTTTAATTATTATAAAATAAATCATCGAACAAAAACCACAATTAGATAATATATTTATAAATAAACTGAAATTAATATAATTAAATCAATTAAATAACTACACAAAAAAATTTGTTATATGTTAATTTTAGAGTTTGATTTGCTCTTTGATTTCGTCAAAATTTTTTATTAAAATAATAATTTTTTTTTTGGTATTAGTTTGTTTAAATAAAAACACACTAAATGGGTTTGCCAGTAATATGATTTTATCATTCTTAAGTATGTTAAGTAAAGAGTCAATAATGAAAAAATTGGAAAAATTTATTCTGATTTAAGTAAGAATTTTACTAGCGAGATTATTTGATAGCGAAACGTTCTTTGTAGTTTTGCATAAATTTTTTTTGGTAATTTTTTTTCCTGAGCTGCTTAAATATGCGCATTAATAAAAACCTTATAATTTTATTATTTGTAAATTTTTATTTTATTTCTCTTCTATTTGATGAGATGTGAAATGACAAAAATTTGTACAATCTTAACAAAGTTAGAGATGAATAACGGGGTTACGCCTCCAGGAACTAGTTTCGCAAATGAAGCCACGCGATTTCTAATATTACTCAAAAATATTCCCGAGGTGTACATGAATAAATTTATTTTATTATTCACAATGTTTTATTGTTTATTATTTAGAGAATTGAGGCACGTGATGTTTATGGGTTTTAATAAATATTTTTAGACTGTTCTAGTAGCCTTTAGTGTTTGCTACAACGTACTATGTGACATATATGGAGATCTAATTGGAAATAGAGTACTCAACTCAACTCAACTCCGATCGCTTAAAATAATATTAGTATCACTTCTTTGATGGTGTTTTCTATAAGCCGTAACTTATAAGTCTGTTCTAATTAAAAGGCATGGCAAGTGCTAAGAAATTAGCAAAAAATAATAAATAACTTGAAATTTGAACAACGATAGTTTCCTACAGCTTCGACTCGTTCGGTTAATAAACGCCGAAGTAATTTGCTTCGAATTTGACAGAATTAAAGATCTATTACATTGAAGTCCAATAATTATTTGCGAATTTATTAATTATAATTAATACAATAAGAACAAGAACAATCATTTTAAAATGTTTACCAGGTTGAGTATTTGGCAGTACTGCGAAGAATCTTATAGCCAGATAAAAAATTCAATTAAGTATTGTTTTTTTTTTTTAAATATAAAATAAATTAATTTAATTTTAACAATACAAAATATTTTCTTGACCGGTTTTAAGTTAATTACTCAAAAATCCATAATCATTTAAAAACTTCACACATTTCATGCTAAGTCAAGATATTCTAAACATTAGTGGCCGGGCATTAGCAGTAATCTATTCTAACGTAACTAAATAAATATGATGCTCTATATAATCACTAGGCGAAAATGGGGATCGAATATTGTTCAGATAAGCCAAATCATAAAATTCGTCGATATGCAAAAAAAGAAAAAGACCTAAAGTCATCTGGAGTCTTTTTGCTTTGAGAAGGATGAATAAATACTAGAATCTTTCTGTGAAAAGAAAATAATAAGTAAATAGACAAAAAATATCTTTAGGAATTTTTCAGCACAGAAGTCTACAGTTAACTAGTAAAAACTATGTATTGGTGTCCATTTCCAAGTTATATATAGATTCTAGGAAGAGCCAAGGTCCTCCTTATGTGAAGTTTTCAAATTAATAACTAGGTGAGATATCCTACAAAGAACTAGTGATGATCTACAAAGAGAGAGCCAAGTTTGTGTGATTTTTTCTAAATCATTGATGAAGTATATTACGATTAAACATATTGATTTCCTCACTGAAAGATGAGAGAATTTTAAAGAAAATAAAAATATTTTATTATTTTATTATCGTTAGTTTTCCTGAAGATGACTATCGCAGATAGTCGAAATATCGTAAAAATATTTTAATATATAATTTGTTTTTAAATATAAATAATAAGTTAAAGTTTTTTTATTTCTATTTAAATGACCAATTAGCCCGTTAAAAAATTTTATAAAATATAAAAACTTTATAACTTTTATATATATAAATTATTGTACCTTTTAAATAATTTTCCTTTTTAATATTCAATTAATTTGTTTTATTCCTAATATTTTTATTATTTGTGATCTAATTTATATTTATCTATTCCTTTAGATGACTTCAACAGTAACTCTTTGTCGAAGAAAGCGATTTTGAGCTTAAAATTCATTCCATTCCTTCATTCTGCCAAGCGCCTTTTTTTTGGCCTCTGTTGATGGGCATGAGATACGTACATTTTTCATCAATTTTCCAGCATACTTGTTTGAAAAGGATTTTAACTTAATATAAATGGGCAATGAAAATAACAATGGAGCAATGTACTGTTTTGAGTCTTTAAAAGAATTACAGAGTTTGTGATATCGTGGAAAGGGAAGATCTTATGTGAAGCTCTAGAAAACCAGTCCAACTCAACATTTAACCAGTTAAAGGTTTCGTTAACTCCAACAACCAGAAATGGTCAGTAGAACTAAGCACATTAAGAATGAGGTAGAAGCCTAACCCGCACAGTCGACACTGAAGTCATCTCACATTTTCAGTGAGACACTTAGAGATTTATCTACAAAATTGTGTGTAGGTACTGATTGACACCAACTCAAACAAATAAAAATATTATGTACATATATTATGTGTATTAATATTATATATACATATATATAAAAACAAACTAGTAATTCTACTTAAGCGATCTTTTATAAAAACTCTCCTTTGATTTTATTAATTAAATATAATTAATAATAAAGTTTAAATATAAAAATCAAGATTATAGTAGAATCGACTTTTATTTATCAAAACTATCCTCTTACTCAAACTAATAATTAGCATATAACTGATAACTGCCAATCCACCA